GTCTGGTACGTGGAGGAAGGAGATGTTAAGGAGAACCATATAAGTGTGAATAGGACATGTTCTGCAATGTGTTCTCCCTTCTGCCTTGTCATGGGTGACAGGAACAAGGTAAGCGTGACCATCTTCTGCCTTGAGAATGGGGCCAACTGATGCCCTGATGCCACAGAAAAAACACAAAATACACAGAACAGATAGGGGAACATAAAACATAAAACGAGCCAAGAGACTATCTTTACAGTTACCCCCATCCATCAACGTACAAATCACTTGTTTGTTGTGCTTAAGGGATGATATAAGGCCGTTTGTAATACTTTCACGGCAGGAATGTTAGTTTTTTGCCCAATTGGAAAAGTCAAGATTCATATATTTCATAACTAAAAGCAAATAAATCACTAATTATCTGTATTGATGTTGTTTGGCATTTAGCAAGCAGTCATCCTTTTGCACTTATATGTACGGGAATGGAAAATATAGCTTCAGTTATTTGTTGAGAAATCTGTGTTTTTTGTGTACCTCGGGCAGAAGCTTGAAAGCCAAGCGAATGTTTTCGTTGAGGTCTTTAATCCTACCATCCTATTTTCCTTCAGTGTTTCGAGATGAAAACAATTGCTATGAATGAAAATACCCTTTCAAAAGGACGGTGCAGTGCCAATTAAAGCGCCGCTTAGTTGTTACCAAACTCATAGTTCTCAGAACTCCCAAGGGGGCGCTGCCAACGAGACTAAAAATCATTGAAAAAAATAATAATAATTGATTAGTCCTCGTCCACTAAACACAATCAAATTCTCGTCTATCTTGCCTTCCCTAGGTCCACAGCTGCATTACCTGCTGCTCCGAGCACCTGTGCAACGTCGGCAGGTCATCCGGCCGACGTCCCGTGACCAGCCCTTCCCTCCTCGCTGCCGCCCTCTCCGCCGCCCTCGCGCCCGCCCTCGGGGCGCTCGCCACCCCCGGGAGGAAGAGCTTCGCTTGGTCTGCACGTCCGCTGCTCGCCTCTCTTCTCGGGCTTTGCCTCCTCCTCACGGTGTCCTCCGCCTCAAATCTCTTCCCAGACATTTAAGCGAATCATAGATATATTTTCTTTGAAATAAGAACTAAGGAATTCGTTTCTTCTTCCAACCACATGACTTGACCCATGGTTATTGGTGCCGACCAGAGGGACGGAGCTGTTTGCAGCCCGTCTCTTGCCGTGATATGTTTAGCCTGTGTTGACTGCTCTTACTCGTTTTTTTCCTTTCTCAGAAAGATTGAACAAGTTTCCAAAATAACATGAACAGACATATCATGAACAGATACCTGATAAGTTGCTGTATCACCTGAGGACTCAGTTCCTCTGAATGTTAACCGGAAATTATTTACGTGTGGAGAAACCTGTGGGGACGGACGCCCGGGGACGCCGCGGTACCACCTCGTCCAGCAGCATTCGCGGATCAGAAACTAGACCTTAATTATGCTTAGAGAAAACATGTAGTTGTCTCATTTGGACCACTGACCCGCTGATTGGTCGAGGAGATCATGTTCTCCTATTCTCAACCACATATATATATAAAATGAGCTTCATAGATTATACAATTAGTGAGTTCGATTTTTCCGAACACCATTTGCTTGTGTGTATAAACCCAAAGAGCTGATAACCGTCCCAGTGAGGCGGGGAAGTGCTTCCGACCAGTCACCGTGCTGGGGGTTGAGACCAGTGGTTCCCTCGACCAAACAGTGAGACGAAAAAACAAACAAACAATAAAAGAGAGTAAATAACGAAGTAATAATGATCACATATCAGCGAATGGTGCGGCTTTTCGAGATGTAGTGGTTCTAGATAAAGCGACTCATTTTAGTAGCTGTGTCGTCGATCTGAGCGACGTTTTTAATCTCTAGCTCTTGGACTTACCTGTAGGAAGACCATTGCAGTTGCATTACGAGAGAAAATAAAGCATGTAGCGGATGTTACTCTAGGACAGTCAAATTTAAACTTATAAACAGTCTATATATTGGATTAATTTATGCAGTGATTAATTAGAAGTACATACGCGCCACTCACTCATATATATATATATATATATATATATATATATATATATATATATATATATATATATATATATATGCATATATATGTGAGTGTGTGTGTGTGTGCGTGTGCACACACATATATATATATATATATATATATATATATATATATATATATATATATATATATATATATACATACACATATATACATATACATATTCACACACACAACCCCTTACACGCACACACAACACACACACACACACACACACACACACACACACACACACACACACACACACACACACACACACACACACACACACACACACACACACACATATATACACATACACACACATCCATATACATATACACGCGTGTATGTGTAGTATATGTGTGTGATTATATATATACATATACATATGATATATATATATATATATATATATATATATATATATATATATATATATATATATATATG